CACACACACATTTTTGCACATGTCGAGGAGCATGTCAGGTTGCATTTCACTGTGTTATACTTGTATAACTATGCATGTGACAAATAAAGAACCTTGAACCTTGAACAACTGGAAGACATTACGAGAGTTACTCACGTTCCACATCCAGTTGTATTTTTTGGAGCGCGACCTCTTTTTTAAGTTTCACTCCACACCAGTAGACACCTTCATCCTGTGAGGACACGTTACTGATGGACAGGCTGACGTTTCTGTTTGTCTTTGTGAAAGTGAATCTGCTGTTTGACTGTTGAGGAGATTCTACCATGTTCTCACAGACAGAGTTAGTCTCTTTGCAGAAAAAAAATGGTTTGTTGTCTCCTTCATAATCACATTTGATCGTGGTTTTAGTTGTTCTGTATGCAATTTGATTAAATTGCTTCAGGCATACGCTTTTCACTACAAAGGAAAAAAGGTAGATTGAGCAAATAATCAAATGAAATACATTAAGGTGTATGTCATATGAATTATCCAAATTATTGTATTTGAAGTTGTAAATTATTTAATTTTCATTAAATTTGCCTTTTACTGTTAAATGCACTTTTAACTTATTAAAAATGAAGACTTGGAGGAGAAAATCATTTAGTAATTAGACTTGTCAGACTTTTGCTTTCAGGCTGGAGAAAAAAAGTAAAACTAAACTAATTTTGTGTGTTTCTTACATTTGACATTTTTAAATTAAAATAAGCAAAACTTTAGATATAAGATGACTGGATTTTCAAAATTGAAATTCTTACCAGATGGTTTCTCTTTGCCAGATGGATTTTTGCACATTTTCTTACAGGATTCCTCACTTTTAAGTTCCATGAAGACCCCCTTTGGGATTTGGTTGCTTTCACACTTTATATAATGTGTTTCTTTAGTTTTTAGTGTGTTGCAGGTGACTTCAACCCATGTTCTGCATTCATTCTGTTGTGACATCTCACAGGCTGAGGACAAATATTTACTTCACCTCAGTCACTTAAAATAAATCAGGTTGAAACAAAACTCTAAAGACACGTTCTAACACAGTCTGTCTGCATTAGTACATCAATAAGATTAATTAATACCATATTATTTGATATTATCATATATCAATAATAAAAACAATAAATCTGAACTTTCGCAACTGTATTTGGACTTAATTCCATCTTTTTCTATAATTGTGATGAGGCCAAAACATGTCTGCTGTGACTTTTATTGCATATTTTTAATTAGCTGGATAATTCAAACCTCCAGGAGCGTCACTCACTTTTAATTTTACTTTCACTCCTGCATTACAATAAAGTGCAGAAAATAATAACGCATTATCTGGTTATAGCTTATGTTTGTTAAGTTGAAAAATGTGCCGTGGTTAAAAAAGTGGAGCAGTGAGTCTGTTAAGCTCATGTTCAAGATATTCAAAGAGAGCTGTAGCTATACCAGCTGACAGGATGTACTGATTCAAGCTACTTGCTTAAGATGCAGTAGCAGATCTCTCTGTCTCTAATATCAGTAATAAAGCCATAGTTATAGTTTTTACCTGTCAGCAGGAACATAATGAGCAGGAAACTGTTTTTCATGTTGTTGGTCCTGAATGCTGAAGTCATCTTTAAGAAAATGAAACTCTGAGTTCCTCTTTTCATGTCTGGGGTGATGTGGTTGTGTGCACAGCCGTGTTTCCTCAGTTTATATTTTGGGCAAACTAAAAGTAACCCTGCCCCCATCTTCCTCTTCCTCGCCGTGTTTCTGCCTCAACCTAACACTCTCCACGAACTCCTGATTACTCCTCACCTGCTACTGTTGACCAGACTGCATGAAAGCCAAACTGCTTGAGTGCTGTAGTTTTATGTCATGATACACTGTGTGTGGCAGGCAAAGACACACACAGCTAGAACGAGATCACAAAAAAGTTAAAAATGTGAAGACATGAAGACAGCGCACATAATTCTAACAGACAGGAAGCAGCAGGTGTGGCTGGTGTTAATCAGCACTTCCCCTTTCAGGGATGTGGCCTCTCGTCTGCTCTTCTCCCTCTACACAAACGACTGCAGTTCAGTTTGCAGCCGTGACATGACAGTTATCTGACTCATTAGCAATGAGTTTGCATACAGTCGTGAGTTGAACAGCTGGCCTTGTGGTGCAGTTAGAGATGATTATGCTCAGAACTCGAAGAGAGATGACAGGAGGAGCCGTTGTCCCCCATGAAGTTACTTAACAGCACTGTCTGCTGTGGAAACTTTCAGGTTTCTGGGATCCACAGTGTCCTAGTAAAATATACTGCAATAATCCAGTCTGCTCGTCCATCAGTGCATAATTTGGATCAGCCATAAAACAGGACAGTGAGCTCTATAGAAAGAAATTATTGATGCAGACTTGCCCTCAATTCAAATCCAGTCAGGAAACAGGCAGGCAAAATCATCGCAGAGCCCTCACACCAGGTTCTGTCCAACTCCTCTGCTCTGGCAGGTGCTACGCCAAAACCAGCAGACTTCTGTATGGGTCCTTGCACCATTCCATCATGACTATACTATACGTTCATTGTTTATAAAATTAAGTGCAGGATTGGCATATTTGATAAGGCTGATGCAGTCTGATTAAGCGTCACAGGTTTTACAGCAGCTGGGGGAAGGAGACACAGGTGGGCACGTTCAGACAGTGAGACAGGGTAAGAAGCCAAACGCAGAATGTGAAGAAGTTTTAACAAATAACCATTAATGACATTGGAAAACATGAAACATGAATATAATTAAATAAATAAGAAAATAAAGCCCAAAGTAAACAAAGAGAAAACATCTAATAATAAGCAAGAATGCAAAGCTCCAAAGAACTAAAAACCAGGGACGACAGCAGACGTGGAGAGAGTTATTATTACAAAAAATGTGTTTTTCAGGACCAGCAGGGTCATGGTGTCCTACTGTAATTATAAATCTTAAACAACAATTAAACCAAAATTGTTGTTTATTGATTTCAGTCTGACAGCACCATCCTCTGTAAATATGTTGTATTGTATGTTAAGATGTATTCAGATGCATTGGTGCAAGCACTAAATATTGTTTTTTAGTCTTTAAACACATACAGTTTGTAATAAACCGAGAAGACCACACGAGATGCAAATGCAAAACTTTTTTAACAGCATCATCAGAAGCTTTTTTAAATTTTCCAAATCAACTACAATACAAACTGTAACTGAGAAAGAAAAGAACAAAATAAAAAGGTACAATCATTAATATGATGATGAAGAAGAATTGCTTAAAAACATGAATGGTTTCATCCTGGGAGGAAACACATCCCATGGGGGTTGTGTCAGGATGGGGATAAAAAAAAATGGCAACCTACTTTGGAAACCCTTTGTAACAAAGGAGCAGCTGAAAGTAGCATCGACTGAACCTGACGTCATGGCGACCATGCACAAAATACAGAAACAAAGGTAAAAAAAAACAGGCAAGTAAAAGTGCACATTTGGGAAGTAACAAATGAATAATAATTTTAAAAATAGCATAAAAATTACAATGAGCGGGTGGAGGGAGGTTTGGAGTCTTCTCTCACCCCCGTTCTCTGCGACCTGCTGGAGCAGGGGGGCTAGGAGGAGGAGTTGGCCGTCCGACTGCGGTCTGGAGTGTGGAGCCTTCCTGCTGCTGCGGAGTCGGGGCGGTCTGCCTCCCCCCACCGCAGGGAAAAGGGAAACACCACCTGGGTCTGGGTGCAGTTCCCCCCTCCAGGGGCGGGGGCACCTAGACCCGGTTTGTAGAATACGCTTGGGGAGTGTGATCGTGTGTACAACGTCTCTTTATGTCTGTCTCCACGTTGGTTGAGTGTGGAGTAAGTGCATATGAGAGCATGAGGGTGGGAATGGATGTTTGTATCTGTGTGTGCCTGTATGTCTGTGTCTATATGTCAGGTTGGGTGTCAGGCGCCACCTCTCTGGGGACATCTCAGGCCCTCCAAGGTTTGGAGGCCTATCTCCCCCTACCACCACTTCCCCTGCCAGTGGTGGACCCCCTCAGACATCGGTGCGTTGGTGGTTCTTTGTGTCCGGGGATGGGCGTCCAGGTACACACCAGCTCACTCCTTGGCGGCCGCTTATCGGGGCCTGAAGCCTGGGGCTCGCTCGGGCCACTTCGGAGGTGGGGTGCCCCCGGCCTCTCGGCCTGGGGCTCGGTCACTCAGGCGCAGCTGGCTGCTGGCGGAGCTCACGGGCGCGTCACTGCAACTCCCCCTGGCTTCTGCTCCGTGGCTGCTGAGTGAGCCCTCATCTGGGACTCTCCTCAGCTCTTTCCGGGACAGTGGCGCAGCTGCCCCTCTGTTGGTCTTCCTTGGTCTCTTGTGTTCTGGGGGCCTCTGGATGTCTGGAGTTTTGATCTCCTCCATACCTGCTTCACGCCCTGGAGGACGGGGCTGTGGCCCCCCCACACCCTCTAGCAGATCATTACATGAAGGAACCTTTTAAATACAAGCGCGTCCATGCTCACAGGTGTACACACGGGTGATCACACCCACAAACTACACCCTTTTTGGCTCCTACCTCAAAGCACACTGTGTTCTGTTGATCTTATGTGCTGCACAATAATGTTTAACATTTAGTATTTACTGTCATATTCCCATATATCATTGTGATGTTGTTTATTCTATTACTCTTGTTCTCTTCTGCTTGTTTTCTTTTTTCTTTCTCAGCAGGTGATCCAGGTGATTGATATATGCATTTTTTTCTCTGCCCATTCTGTTGGTTTTTGTCTTTTGCCCTTCTCCCCCGTCCCTCTTCTCAGCTGTTTCTCTTTCCCTCTTTCTTTCTCCCCTTCTTTCCCCCAGTCAAGTCTGTCCGGTATACAGTAAGTGAAAATAAAATAAACAATAAAAGGTGAATCAAATGGACCATTACGGCAAGGCTGGGATGGTCAGTTTGGTAAAGTAAATCCGTTGGGTATCTTTCTTTGCCTTTAGACAACAATTCTGATGGCAAAAGAGCCAAACGGGACAGGCAAAAAAAAAAAAAAAAAAAAAAAAATAGCATAAAAAGGTTCCTGGTGCAGCTCTAATTGTCACGGTTCTGGGTCATTGTGACCCAGCTTTTTCTGTTTTTCTAAATATATGATTTGTTTGGGTTTTTGAGTTGTGCTGGTTTGATTTGGTATTAAGGGTTATTCTTAGTTTTGTTCTCTTTACTTTATTTGGTGTTCTGGCCTTCAGTTTAAGTCACTGTCTTCTCTGTTTTTGTGTCTCTGTCATGTCTCTCTCAGTGTCAAGTTTGGGTCCTTTTTTCCTGCCTGCCTGCCACACAGCCAACCATGACACTAAGCTACGTTCACACTGCAGGTGAAAGCGCATCACGATACATATCCGATGTTTTAGGAAGCGACTGCTGTTTGACGGTCATGTCGCATTAAATCCGTCTTTTATGTCACTGACACAAGACAGACGCTAATTATCAGCCCCGGAGAAGACACCGCGAACGCTTCCTGGCCATCCCGTGTAGATGTTAGTGAAACTGTTGGGAAGACAACGTGAACATTTTATTTGTACTGTATAATCTGCAGATTCTGACAGAAATCTGCAACTATCCTTTGAAGCACCGCTCCTCTAAAACAGGAATAAGGATCATTATTAGGTTATTTACATTATTATGTAAATAACAAAATAACTTAAAGTAAAAATTGGGAAACGTAAAGTCCGAAGTCTTTATATTAAGGCCATCAGTCAAACAATATTGTTTGCTCTGGGTCTAAACAGAGCGTGTTGTGTGTGACGTCTTCTTTTGCGCTTGCGGCCGCTTTGAGCGTTCACACTAGAGCACGTTTGCTGTCGCATTTTATTTGTAGTGTGAACCAGCAGACAAAAAAATCGGATTTGATCAAAAAATCTGAATTGAGCAGTGTGAACGTAGCCTAATGTCTTTCAGTAGATTTGCTGGTTTGGATCAACAGTGGGGGGCAGATGCCTGCTCTGTCCTTGCTCGTCCAGGTAACTGTGGGTGGCAAACACACCATGTCTTCCCTTTTCTGGCCTATAATAGGCTTGCATTTTTTAATATAGTGCTGTGAAAAAGTATTCTGCCATCTTTCTGATTTTTTTTCTATTCTTTTAATGTTTTTTTGCATATTTTTTACATCTTACATTTTTCAGATCATCATTTTAAACAATGGCTTTTTTATCAAGAATATTTCCTTCATACATATAAACAAATAGAGAAGAGAAGGATTACAAAAGTGAAATAAAGGAAAAAAATATAAACGTAAATAACATAGGATCTGGCAAAATAATCACATTCATTCCCACCCAGGTCACTGCCCTAGATCTGTACAGCTGAAAAGTTCTTATAGATTTTGGATGCATCAAGAAAAGGTTTGAAATTTCCCAGATCATCAAATTTTAATAGCTAGAAAGCAAGCAGTAAATAGAGGAGCAGTCAGGACTTAACCCTTCTCAGTGCTGCAGTGGCATGGCAACGACAGGGAGTAGAAATTGTCAATTGAAACTCTGGATGGATGATTTGCTGTAGACTTCGTATCATGCTGGCCTGGTTTCCACTGACTACAATCTGTATCAGAGTCAGCCTCACCAGAGATGTTTTTAACGTTGACTTTGGATTCATGCATGAAGAAAGCTGGGTTTGTGGGGAAGTTGGTAGTGGCATAAACTGTTTTCATTGCAGGTCTTGTGAC